CAATACTTAAATCTCTTTCAATAAAATTCAACAACAAAAACCAGTCTTTGTCCACACATTCAGGATCTAAACGTATTCAGATTGGGCATAATGAACATCAGACAGTGGGCTGCTAGAAATGTATAAACTCGTTTTCGTCTTTCTGATCCTTTGATATTCGGTTTCTTTGGGAATGTGTTTGTGAGGACTGAGAGTCTTAGCTGAAAACAGATGGTTATGGTCCTTAAATGAAAAAACAAAATATAGGCAATATCAAAAAGTAAAAGGGGATGGCTAGGACCGATGATGATTCGGATCAGAGTTCTGGTGAACATAATGACATGTGAACGTTCATTTGTTCATTTATTCATTTTTAAAGTATTTATTGAGCATCTACTATAAGGCCGTTACAATGCTAACCTGGGGGGACTATAAAGAGGGTATGACAGTCATAGAAATGCCCCTTAAGAGGCTCACAATCTAGTGCTTCTAATTAGTGGTGAGGTTGACATGTCTGAGATATCACTGACAGCAGACAAGCACCAGCCAGTGGTGTCTAAGATGAAACACGTGGTTCAGAAAACTGTATCTTCTTTTCCTGTAGCAGTCCCTCGGCCCCCTCATACTCACCAGGTGTGAAAGGAAGGTGGGGCCTTTCCTGATACTGACCACGGCAGACCAAAATATCAGCAAAGTTAACTCCACAGAAATGGACATCAACTCTGACCTGCAAAAGACATACAGTAGAGCAGTACATGTTTATGGAGACAAAATGCATTCAATTATACCAAAATATTTGCTGAAAAACCTACTATATGCCAGGTACTGAACTAAGTGCCAGTGTACAATCATGAGGCAAAATGGACAAGATTCCTGCTTTCATGGAGCTAAATGTATAATATAAAAGACAGACAGTAACCAAATAACTATGAGAAATTTATGTATTAAATTACAACTCCTACATGAAATGTTAAAGATAGAAATATATGGTGCTATGAAAGTATGTAGTGGGGGGGCATTTGACCTTTTGGGGATGGTCAGGAGAAATCCCTGAGAAAGTAACACTTGAACTAAGAACAGCTAAGAGTTAACTATTCGAAATGAGTCAGGGGGAAGCCTAGCACAGCCAATAGCAATGGCATGTGCAAAGGCCCTGTGGTGGGGACAAAAAGAAAACCAGCGGGCTTAGACCACAAAGAGAAGATATGGATGGGATTAGAGTGCACAGCCCACACCCTCCAAGGGTTTGTAGGCTTTATGGAGGATTTCAGTCTTCATGGTAGAAACATTAAGATTTTAAGCAGGAAGGTAACAAGATCATCTGTTTTGGTAATCAGGAATCTTCTTGGAGGCTAGTCCTAGATCCCCGGCTTCTGTGTTTCATGACAGTGGTAGAGCTGAGGCTGGTCAGTAGCAGTGTAGCCAGCAGTTACTCTACTTTGTAAGTTCTCAAAGTGTGGCCCCCAGACTACCAACATTGTGTCACTTGGGAACTTCAAATTCTCAGGCCCCTCGCTGACCTACTAAATCAGGAACTCTGGGGACAAAGCTCAGCAAACTGTTTTAACAAGCCCCAGGTGATTCTGATGCAGACCTAAGTTAGAGCATTACTGTCATAGACCAACTCATCTCAAACAGAGCTAGGAATTACAGGAGGAAATAAAAACTGAGAGACAAGAGTCGATGACATTTGTTTTGTTTAAATTTCCATTTTAGTTCAGCGTTAGCCATGTTGGTGAGAAGACATTTTTATCAACAAAATGCATTCATTCAACAATGCTTTAAGCATCTGCCATGTGCCAGGCACCATTCCAATCTAAGGGGATTTAATGAGGGTAAACTCACATAGTCCCAGCTCTCATGAGCTAAGTCCTTACACAGTCAGTGTAAAAGAACAAGGGAGCCCAGCCTTCAGCCATTGTGCGCATGACACATTAGTTGTTGACATTTGACATGTGCAGCGCACATATGGCCTCAAGTCACTCCACCTTGATTCAAGGATAATTCAAGGATAAACCTCTTTCAGCACGTGAGTCCCAAGAAGCTGACTGGCTGCCATGATGTGCTCACCCAAATAATCCTCTTAGCCACAGTCTGTGTTAGTGACACTAAAAGGCTTCAGCCACATTTCTCCGTCACACCACTGATCCCTGACACTGAGGCACCTTGTCAGAGGGTGTCACTCTCCACGTCAGATGACACTGTGTCACCACAGTGGTCAACCCACAAGGCCAAAGCGACTTCCACATTTCACTGGAAACGTCCACAATTCTAAACTAACCCCACCCCAAATCACTGCGGTATGCCAGGGGAGGGCATAGGAACATAGTACTCTGAAGGAAATACAGGAGGAAGCAAAGGATGGGGTTCATTTATCTGTGTTAAATCAATAACTTGCGGGTGGTTATGCAAAATCGTGTGAAAATCAGAATTCTCTGTTTCTAAGGCAACAGCTCTGGGCCTTCAGAAAGAGGCATCCGCTTGTGTTTTGAGGAATAATCTTTCTTTAGCCCTTTTGGCCTGTTGGTGAGCCCTGTAGAAGGGGCCCTTCTAGCCCAAGACTGAGTTGCGCTCCCGTATCCCGGTCGCCCCCTAGCTGAGCTCTTGGGAACTTGATCCAAGACGGGACCTTGGATGCGGTGTATGTGTGTGTGTGTGTGTGTGCGGTGGCCAAGGGGAAAGTGAAAGGATGTCAAGAGGTCCTGGGGATAGGTCAGTCACCCTACCTCGTGAGGTCGGACAGGGCGGGGGGCCACCTCCTCAATGGCCAGGGGCTGCTTCAACGCGGTGCACAGCGCGGCGCGGTAGTGGCGGCCACCACACGGCCCGACCCTCCTGCAACACGGAACAAGGATTGGGTGACTCAGGGCAACCCCCTCGGCTGCCTTTGGGGCTCAGGGAAGAGTCGGGGTCGCACCTGCAGAGCCACACGCGAGGGAAGCACCGTCCCCAAAGCCCCCAAACCACCGTCGCCATGGCCCCAACCAGGTAGTCGCGAGAGGGCAGGGGTCCGACTCAGACAGGAAGGGCGGAGAATGCGGGGCCCGCCCCCGGCGTGCCGGGGAGAGCGGAGAAGTGGCCGGGACGCATCCCCGACAAGACCCGACTCAGGCTGGCGGCGGCCAGGACCGCGCCCTGGGCCAGCCCACCGGCAGGGCTCCCTGCACGGACCCCGGGGAGCCTTAATCCCTTCGTTCCACAGGCTCACAGGCTTCCTGGAGGTGGAGCCCGCTGGAGAGGAAAGAAAGCGAGTTAAAAGGAAGCTGATTACCCGAGATTACCCTTTTTTGGGCATTTTTGTAGCAAATTTGGGAGATTTTTAAAATCACACTTGGCGATATAATAGTGGTTCTTGGGTCCTCTGTGCGTGCGAAATGCACAGGTAAAGGCTTTAATGTCTGTATTCAACACCTCAGTAGAGTTCAATTCTTACCAATTTTCTCACACTTTCAGGACCATTTACACTGAAACTATATGGTTACTATTAATCCAATGTGGAATGATCCTAAACAAATCTAAAGAATACTTCCAGTTAAAGTCAGGCCAAAAGCTGGTGGTTTTCATAGTTCCCAATGCCTGTATTATATGCCTGGCACATAATGGATGCTCAATAATTGATTCAATGACCACATCATTCCTAGGTGAACAGGTACACTATGGAAAAACTAAAAACGTAACAAAATAATCTGTGAAATATAATAAAACTGGGTAGACCTCTGTTGCAACAGCAGCCAAATATTTATGTACTGGCAATGTAAGAGAAGCGCATGTTGTCCTGGGAAGCATTTTTTACTTGACCGGTAGCTTTAAAGACAGCAAAATGTCTTTAAAAGACACCTGGTCAGAGTACAGCCCCTCAGGCACAAGCCCAGCTCTCCCTACACCTGTTGGCTGTGCACCCCAGTTTCCTCCTCCATAAAGTGAAAGCATTGGGCAGGATAATCCCAAAATTGCTAAATTCTGTTGCTATTTTTGTGGTGGAAACAATAGTCCAAGATAGCAAATGACCTGGAAGGAATGATCAAGAATGGGATAAAGGGGAAATAGCAAATATGAAGTAGGAATGAACTTAGGAGATTATGGTGGAAAGGCTTTGGTGGGAAAGGAATCCGAGAACCAGGTCCCCACCACAAGTATGCAGCAGAGGTCACTGTTTTTTTAAGAGCACTCACAGGGAATTTGAAAAGCCGTTTTAGCCCCTGTCCCCCTCGGGAGGAAACTCATGCCTGGGAGGAAACTCATGCCTACAAGGAACAAAGACTAGAAGGTGAGAAAATTTTAAGAAACAATTATTTCCAATGAGACACTTTTGTAAACTCTTAGTCATTAGGCACATAAACTCAAACAAGGAATAATGGAGAAATACTAAAATTATCATAATCAAAATGAACATTCTAGTTACCAAATAACAGTGAGCAATAAGAAATCTCAAGTTTATGAAGTATGAAACCAGGATTGATTGTTCTGGGGATGAAATGAGTTCTTATCCAGTGTTCCATGTGGAAAATGTTTTGTAAAATATTAGGTATTTATACAAGATGTAAAACAAGCAGTTTTGTTTTGTTTTGTTTTTTTAAAGATTTTTTATTAGGGAAAGCAAGCAGTTTTTAATTGAGCTGCTTGAAAGCAGCAGCAACCATTTCTTAATCTCTTTTATGTTTGCAGTACTTCGCACAATGCAACACTTACAGGCATTTAATATATACTTCTCTAATGAATTGTTGAATGAACCCTCCATTATCTAGTATCAATTTTCCAGATAATTGGAGGGATCTTTAAGCATCAAGTCTTTTACCTTTGATTAAGTATTTCTATGGAAATTTTTTCTATTGTGGTTTTTATAACATCCTTGTCATTCTCAGGGACTATGAGAATCGGTGAGTTTGGAGAAATGTATCAATACTGCATTCTACATTAACAGCAATGTCTGAAGAAGATAGTAAAAGTCACTTTAAGAAGAATCTGGGAGGGAGATGAAAGTATCTTTGGTAATTGAGGTGATTTTAAGCACTTACATGCAAAATAACTTTCACATTTCCAAAGAGCTTCAAAGGTGACAAGGCATTTGATAGTTGCCATAGTAGCAAAAGAAATATTTAGTCTGTCTCTCAAAGTGCTGCCACCACACCATACTGTCTAGTTTTTGTTGTTACCGGTTCTGGTCATTTTGTTTTATTGGGGGGTAAGGTGGGAAAATGAACAGGAAGAAACAATTCGAGCCCTGGGGAAGAATACGACCAAGCACCTAGATCTGAACTGACCAGTCCTCTGGGAAGAAAGAGAAACAATCCTGCACTGCCCTGCAAACCAGTCTGAGGGCTCATTAGGAAGTAAAAGAGTAACAGATGACTCTTCCTTCTGGTACAACTCACAGGAAGAGATAATATTTAACATCCAGAAGCTGCTGGAGCACTGAGGGTGGAGAAGCAAGCCAGAGCCGAATACACAAGCAGCTATGTTTTCAGAGTAATAGACAAACAATATATAAACAATGTAAGCACCATACAGAACTATGCAGAAAATGTAAAAGTATTTCCCACAGTTGAAATACTTTATCCAATAGTTGGTCAGAAACTTGAGAATAGACTCTGTTTCAATGAGCCTACGTTTACCACCACATCTAGCACACGGGAGTAGCAGGTACTCAGCATGTGAGGAAAGTAGGAAGCAAGGAGCCTCTCAAGCTGAGTGGGAGACCTACCAGTGCATTACCATCCAAAGCCATGTCCAAAAAATATGTAAGGGGTCTTGCACCCACTTCTCTGACTAAGGATACAGTTGCTGGGCATAATCTGATCTTTTTTTCCTGACTAGTTCAGTACAGTAGCCCCCCTTTATTTGCAGGGAATATTTTCTAAGACAACCCCCGCCCACTCCCCCCCACCACCCTCCCCGCCATACTATGTTTTTTTCCAACACATACAAACCTTTTTACTTAAGGAAGTGCTTTATGGCTTCGCTTGCATATCCAACTCATTAGCATCACTATTCTTGCGCTTTGGGGGTCATTAAGAACAATAAGGGCTACTTGAACACAAGCACTGTGATACCACCACAGCCAACAGAGATCATGGAGATGGCTACTAAGGGAATAACATGATGGGGAGCATATACTTGCGTAATGTAGCAAGACAACGCAAGATTTCATCCTGCTGCTCAGGATGGCGCGCAATTTAAAACTTATTGTTTCTGGAATTTTTCATTTAATATTTTCGAACTGCAGTTGACCACAGGTAACTGAAACCACAGAACGCCGAACCACGGGTGTGGTTGTGGGACTATATTGCATTGTCTTCTGCCACCATGGTGTCCTCCAAGATTCCTAAGGGATGTGGGAGTTGTCTGCCTTTTCACTGAACTCCCTAGATTGCTCTTTCTGATTATCGCAATTGGAATTAACTTTTATCAACCTCAGAAATAAACTTTGGCCATTGATATATGTACATATTGACCTTCTACTCTATTCCAAGAATGTTGTAAGATTTGCTACATAACTTATTTGCTCCAACACTCATGAAATCATAGAATTTCAGAGCTGGGCTGGATCTTCAGGATAATCTAATCAAACTGATTCACTTACAGGTGAGAAAGCAGAGACTCAGAGACAGCCTGGCCCAAGGTCACACTGCAGGTTAGGGTAGGGGCACCGTGAGGATCTGGCTTCCCTGATTTCTCGTTCGCTTCTCTTTCTACCAAGCTCTTTGGGTTTCACTAAACAGTATGAATAATAATAATAATAATAATAATAATTCACATTTTCAAAAATTTCAAATCACTGTCACCCAAATTGCTTCATCCTGCAAAGGTGAGAGTAATAATAATTATCATAACAACGAGCACTTACTTGTAACTTATAACAAACCAGTCACTAAGTGCTTTTGCGTTATTTCATTAGTCCTCACAATAGTCCTCTGACTAGAATACTATTATTTTCACTCTTTTATAGATCAAGACGGTAGGCTGAAGGAGGTGAAGTAATTTGCCCAAGTTACACAGCTAGGAAATGGAGCGGTTCAGAAGTTCCCTCACCGCCTGATGCCAGAGCCCCAACGACAATATCCGGCCACCCACTGGGCCTTCCTCACAGCCTCTGGAGCAGACAAAGAAGGTATTGTACCTCACATTTCAAAGCCATGCTTTGCTTGTAGCGTTAAGATTAATTTTATAGGAATTTTACCTAGTTCAAGCCTAGAAAATAGGTGAATTCCCTGAAGGAGAGAATATAGAGAAAGCAGCCTCCAGGGACATTAGCAGTTAAGGGACAAATACAGGAAGAGAAGCTAACACATCATTAGGAGTGACTACTCTGTTCCTGTAGCTGTGAACCTGAAAATGTACTGATTTCATTTAAATTTAAAGTATAGTGTATAAGATTAAAACTGTGATTATGTAAAGCAGTGTACAAACACACACACACACACACACACACACACACACACACGGTTTTAATGAAACAATTGCCGACTGGGTTGCCTGGTTACCAGTCATGACTGTAAGCAGATACAAGCAGGGGTTTGGGCTAAATTCCTGGCAGCCAGATGGACTAATTTGGATGCAGTGATGACCTCGGCAACGGCTGATGTGGCCCCCAAAACTAACCATCAGTATTTGAGGTAGGGATCTTTTCCCACCTTAAACTGTCATCATGGGACAAGTTTACAAGGCCCCAAGCATCCTGGCAACTTTATGAAGCCTTTCCAACCCCACCTTCCCCAGAGAGCACAAATTCTTCCCTTCCATGTGTTCCCCCAAAGAACTTTGTGTAAACCTGTATTAGCTTGCTAATCTCATCATATATGTGGTATTTATCTGCTTATCTATCCAAGCAGCTAAGCTGTGACAATTGTGGATGTTCTGAGGATAACAGTCAAAGGAAAAGATTTGGAGTCTTGGAATTAGATGTTCCTATGTTCAATTCCTGGTTGAGCCACTTACTCCTTGTGACATTGGGAAAGTTATTTAACCTTTCTGAGCTTCCATTCCCTCATCTATAAAGAATCTCAGGTAGTGGCTGTGAGAATTAAACAAGGTCAATGAGTACATGGCAACACTCAATAAATGGCAGCTCTTAGGAAGACCATTCTTGCCCTTGAGCCTTTAACCAGCTAGTGGAGAGAGGCACACATATACAGGCATCTACAATGCCTGTGATATGTCCTATGACAGGGCTGCAAAGGGGGGCTAAGAGAACACA